GGAGAGCTAACAAGTTCGGTAGCAAGGACAAGCAAGCTGTTTTGGTCTCTCTTGGCTGGTCTCAGTACTAGAAGAGACACCTCTAGAAAAGATCCGAGCGCTGCAACAGGCTTCCCCCTCCCTCTCCTTCTGGCTCCCGTCTGCTCCCAGGGCTCCTACACTCGATCTCCTCCCACCGTCACCAGAGGCTTGCATACCCTCCCCTTCTCCTGCAGTGCCCAGCACCCCAACAGGCCGAGCCCAATCCTCGCCCCCACCTCTCTGCTGCAGGCCACATACAACAGAGACTCCACAAGGAGGCAGCCCGACCATCCAGGCCTCTCCAGTTTGCTAGTCCCCCCGGGCCAGGCCTGGGAAGGGAGGCAGGGCAAGAGAACAGCACACAGCAGGCAGCACTTAGCTGTTTGCAGGTTTCAGGGAGCAGGGAGGCTCCCTTCGAACACCGGCCAGGGATTCTGCTGCCCCTCTGGTCAGGTCTGCTGAATGGACGGCCAGCAGCGTGAGCCTGCCTGGGAGGGAGGGATGTGTGGAGAGGGGAGGGTGACTGGCTCTGAGCTGCTCAGGGTTAGGGGAGTCTGCAGAGGCCTGCACAGCGGCGGACGCCGTGGCGATCCCTGTGCTAGGACAGGCCGAAGCCAGGCCGGGTCCTTTGGGTAAAATCAAATGCAAAGGGCCAGATCCTGCTCTCAGCAATGCCAGGGTAAATCCAGAGTCGCGCCACTCCCTTCAGAGGGGTGGCTCCGGATTTAGAGCGGCGTCTGGCCCAAAGTAATGCGTATAACAAGCTCGCGTGAGAAACGAGGTGCTTTTAAGTAGCCAAGGATCTGCCGGCCCAGGCTAGATCTCCAAGGGCCTGCACGTGTAATGCTCGGCACTGCCTCCCTTCCGAGGCTGCTGTCAGCCGCCTGACCGGTCCACATGCACACGCGGGGGAGTAGGAGCAGGAGGAGGGGTCCCTACTTGGCAGCCGGCTGGTCGTAATAGTCTTCAATGAGCTCGTCCTCGCTGAACAGGCTGTTGACTCGCTCCGAGCGCAGCCGCCCCCTCATGGTCTCGGCATCGTCCTGCAGAGACAGACACAGGGAGGGTGAGGTGGAGCAGAGACAGAGACAGGGAGGGTGACGTGGAGCAGCCCTTCCTGTTTCTAGTTCCCTGCTGTCAGTGGGGCTGGCCGGGATGAAGCAGTCCCGCACCCCTGCGTGCTCCGCCCACGTTGCAGCTCATGCAGACAGACCTGCGCTTGCATGAGCACCTCGCTAACTCGGGTCCCAACTGCAGCGACGCCGCTGAAGCACCGACCCGCCGCCTGCGTCATTACCCTGGGTTCCTCCAAGCGGGCTTGTGCGCCCACGCCGAAGCCTGCGTTGCCGCGGCGTCACTGCCATTGCTACGTGAGCTGGCTAGAGTAACGCGAGCTCAGGTACGTCTACATGCGCTGCGCTCACGCCCCGCAACGGCAGTGTAGACACACCACGTATCACAACAGAGCAGTAAAGAGAAACTGGGAAACGCCAGAGGTCCGGCTGATGGGCGAGGCTGAGTCCTCTGGGGGACTACCCAGCTCAAAGGGGGAGGGACAGGGAGGAGACAGGGCCATTGTGAGCACAAACCCCACCCCACCCCGGCACATTTGCACGGACACGCCCCTCCCAGCCAGCTCCTCAGACACACAACGTGGGGAACGTCCTCAGCGCGGCCAGGATCCACGCAGAGGGAGAGACAGTGCACGCCGGGGGTTCACACGTCGCCTCCGGGAGTGACTCAGATTTACTTCCTTCATTGGTGTGAATTTGGGGCTAAGAAAAAGCCAGGCCTGGTAGAGGCAGAGGATGTACACGCTTCTCCCACCCAGCTCTGCGGATGCCCCTCACTCCTGACCTGCAGCCCCTCTGCTATGCCAGTCCTGGGTCCCCACCCAGTTCTGCCAATACTCACCAATCCCAACTTGCAGCGCCCCCTGCTATTCCGGCCCTGGACCTCTCTCGGACAGAGAAGGCCAGTCGTGCTAGACTGTGATTACAGGCGGTGATGGGTCTAGCTGGAGACCAAACTCACAGCACATGATTCCTGAACCCAAGCCCCTGGAGAGGAAAGGCCAGTGCCTGTAACTGATGGCCCCACTCCAACGTCCTAGCTCTTCTGCCCGCCCCACGCCTCTCCCCAGCCTCAGAAGAGCATGCACCGCCCTCACAGTACAGGGAAGTGCAGCCAGAGGTAGGGGTTGGCTGTGGGCACTTCATTTATAGAAGTCAAAATTGCTGCGTTGGGCTTTGGTGAAAAGTTCTGCATTTCCTCTCTGGCGGAGACACAGACACAGACACACAAGCAGCCCAGCTCAGCACAAATGCCCACACCCCACCACCACAAACTGATGATCACTACACCAGAGGCAGCTCACACTGAATCAAGGGTGCATTTATTCAGGAACCTAGGCACATTCAGGAACCTAGGCACAGATCCTGAGAGGTTTTTAGGCTCCTCTCACTGTCACCGGCTCTGGGAGCCTGGCACCCCTCAGCACTGCCTCTGATTTGCAACTCAAGAGCCCCTGGGGCTGGCATTAGAACAGACAGAATTGAAATGTGTCTCTATGAATCAGCTGTGGCCAGTCAAAGGTAGAACTGGGCCTCATGGTCTATAGAGTCGCCCCCGAAAGCAGCATTTCTGCTCTCATGTCCCAACAGCAACCCAAGCTCCTTCAAGTCCTAACTCACCCAGTCAGTGGCAGGAGTGTTAGACAGGTATTATCCCCTGTACCACAGAAAAATTGGGTAACAATGTTCTGCCTCCCTCAAATCCCCCTACAGTTTCAATTAGATGCAGCGTTCTTCTTCGCTTCCTGCCCTAAAGCATTGTGCAGTGTTGCTGTGTGCTGTTAACTGCTGCGTTCCACGCCAGACTTGGTTGCATTTCAGCAGTGAGCGTCCGAGCCCTGGACACTCTCTGGTCCTTTGGAATGAATGCCATGGTATGAAGTTAATGGGATCATCTGATTTTTCCACCCCACCCCTCCTTTCCAAACAACATTGGGGCTATTTTCTCTCCTCTTGTCTTTTAAAATGGAAGACAGGACAGACAGACCGACCCGCTGAGAGAGCCAAAAAGCCCGGACACTGCGCTGTATTATGAGCCAACCTTGTCACTCATTTCTCCTGCGGTAGCTGCCAATTCCTCCTCCCACGGGGGTTCTTCATAGTCAGAGTCGTCTGTGAAGAGACACAAAGGGAGGCTGAGAAACATTGTTCATTCTAAAGGGGGTTCAGGGAGCATGCACCCCGAGATTGCTGTGCTCCTGTCAACCACTTTCTTGTGCTTGCTCCTGCACCCAGCCAGGCAGCAACACAGCTCTCACAGCAAGAGGCAACATTGTCCGGGGGGAGGACACCAGGGTGGGATTCAGGTGGTTTGGGCTTTGCTAGAGACCCCCTGGGTGACCCTGCCCATGGCACTTCTCCTCTCTGTGCCTCAATTTCCCCATCTGTAAAATGAGGCTAATTTTGTCAAGCACGCCAAGACCCTTCCACGAACGACACTAGGGCTGGGAAAAGGCTTTCTGTGAATGGCTTCTGGAGGTCACACTCTGCAACAGCTGTCATGCCGCACTCTCTGCTCTTTGCTGTCTGGCAGTGCCTTGCTCGTTTCCCCTCTGATTCCCACAGCATCCAGGGGCTTTACACATCCCAAGGTCACAGAAGTGTCGGGCTGGAGGGACCTTTGAGAGGTTATCATTTCCAGCCCCCTGCGCTGAGGCAGGGCCAAGCAAACCTAGACCAGCCCTGACAGAGGTTTCTCCAGCCTGGTCTTAAAACCTCCAGTGAGCGGATTCTACAACCTCCTTTGGAAGCCTGTTCCAGAACTTAACTATCCTGTGAGTTAGAAAGTTTTTCCTAATATCTGACTTAAATCTCCCTTGCTGCAAATTAAGCCCATTGCTTCTTGTCCTACCTTCAGTGGACATGGAGAACAATTGATCCCCGTCTCTTTAGAACAGCCCTTAAGAGATTTGAAGACTGTTCTCAGGTCCCCCTCAGTTTTCTTTTCTCAAAACTAAACTTGCCCAGTATTTTTAACCTTTCCTCAGCTCAGGTTTTCTAAACCTTTGATCATTTTTGTTGCTTTCCTCTGCACTCTCTCCAGTTTGTCCTCATCCTCCCTAGAGTGTGGCACCCAGAAATGGACACAGTTCTCCAGCTGGGGCCTCACCAGTGCCGAGTAGATTGACCTCCTGTGTCTTACGTCTGACACTCCCGTTAATACATCATTTGAATCCCTCTCCTAAGAGCCTGAACCTGAAATCGGTGGGCATTTTGTCTGAGGACTGCAGGATTGAAGCCTAAATTAGACATAGCACAGCGAAGGAATGACAGACAGCCGTCACGGAGGCAAGGTTATGGAAGGACGAGACCATGAGAAAGGGTAGTGGTACATCCTGTTGGTTCCTTTTTTTTGTTTTTCTCCAGAGGAGTTTGTGTTTCTAGAGTGATTTTGAAAGGAGTTTTTTTCTTTGCTAATATGCTGAGCTAGTGTTTGATGGAGCATTGAAGACAGGGCTGGCGCTGCAGGGAGAAATCGCAAGTGGCTGCAGCTCCTGAGTGCCAGCACGAATCGTCCAATGCAATGAATCAAAGGCTCCATTCAGAAACAGGAGGGAGGTAAGAGCCAGGGGAGAAAAACAAAATGGGCCATTTATTTAACCTTTATAAAGAACAAGAGGTATAGGAACCAGGGTGCTAACGGCCAGCATTAAACACTGCTATGTGGTCATCCGGATTCTAGAGGCAGCTTTGGCTGCTTTCTGGCCAAACTAACTACATATGAGGTTATTACAGTATCAAATCTGTCCCTCGGTAAAACAGCCAGGCCTTGTGTCTCCCAGTACCCCAGCCTCTGAAGGAGGAGAATTTCTCCGGGGACCTTGGGATACTCGAGGCTGGGAGATAGCCCCCTGATTTATTTCGTTTTGGAACACCCAAAGCAGGAAGCACTATTTAGACTCGAGCATTCGAACAAAGGAGCTGTAAAAACAAGGCCCTGACCACCTGCAGTCTGAAAGAGCTTGTGGCCGTCTTTGCACGAGCAGGGGCGCACGTGCCAAATTCCACAGCATGCAGTGGCTCCAGCCTCCCGGGCGGTTTCATAGGAGGAACCCCCCTTAATTACCCCTCCTCAGGTGAGTCTACAGAGCAATGCGAGGGGTGACTGCAGCTTTGACAGAGATAAATACAGCAGGGTAGCCGCTGGGGCATGGCCGCTGGCACAGGCTAGTCACCCAGGCACAATCCTGCCCGGGGCCCTAGGTACATATTCACGTGGCTATCCTACGCTGCTACTCACGCAGCTATTGCAGAGTGGCTGATGCTTCCCACCCCAGAGGTGGCTGCATTTCAGTGCTTGGTGAGCGATCCCAGTACAGGCAGACTAGAAAGCACTCCGGGGTGACAAGTGATATGGAAATGGAATGTCTCCGTGACTTTATTCGCACACAGAGAAACAGCTGCCTCTTCGCCTGGGGCAGGAGTTTGTTGGGACACCAGGTTTCAGGAGAGAACTACGACCTGTTTCCTCCATCGTTGTTCCTTCGGCAATGCAGAAGAGGCACCGGTACCCAGTTACAGCGGGTGCCATATTTCCTCTGCAGCATTCTGAGCCATTGCTTCCAGGACTGCTAACCTCAGGCCAGGATGTAGGGAGACCCTGTGCAGCCACACGGGGCAGCATCGCCTCCGTCTGTCAGTCTGGGAGCCAGAGGGAGCCAGAAGACCTGGGTGTGTCCAGCAGCCTCAATAAAGAAACCCCTTTCTAGGCCCCACAGCTGAGACCTGTCTCCTCTCGAGTGCCAGAGGGTTTCCGAAGCAGTAAAGACTAAACTGCCTCCGGCATACCCGTAACGCTACACAGCTGGTGCGAGGCAGGCCTGTGAGTTTAATGATACTATAGAATTTAAAAAGCAACAGAGGGTCCTGTGGCACCTTTAAGACTAACAGAAGTATTGGGAGCATAAGCTTTCGTGGGTAAGAA